AAGAGAGAGACGTACGTGCCTACGAAATCGCTGCAAACTACACCGATGTTTGGTAATACGAAGGAAAGAAGCGACGGAGATGCAGTCATCGATGGTAACCCATCAGTAAATCATTAGCATTTCCCTCTCTTTCCTGAATGTTCTGCTTTGCTGTTATTATTCTATTTAATTTTTTAAAACAGGGAAAAACCTGGGAACTCCAGATGCTTTCCTTTGGGAATCTCAAAGTATCCCAGCCCTTCACTGAGTATCAGGAGACGACTCCCGTTTGGGCGGTGACAAAATTGCGGCTCAGCGCAGGTGATCTGCCTACCTCGTTCATACGCGTGCTGGACGCCACACAGGGACTCGGATTCCCGTTTTCTCTGCTTCCAAGACTGCCCAGGCGACCCTGGGCGTAGGAGACTAAGACAAGCACAAGCGCTTTTCCTGAAAGCTGCACCGAACGAAACTCTCGTGCCGCTGGCCCCGCCCCACTCCGAGGCCCCGCCCAGGCCGTGAGACTGGAAGGGAGTTTCCATGGTGACGGCAAACAAGGCTCACACTGAGAGGCAGCTGCTCTGCTGCTACCCACGCCGTCGCCATGATCCCGCCCGCCGACTCTCTACTTAAATACGACACCCCGGTGTTGGTGAGCCGGAACACGGAGAAACGGAGTCCCAAGGTGAGGATGCGTCTCTAGGGATGGGGGAGCCAGGAGCTCCAATAGGGAGACACATGCCACGTTGAGAGTCGGGAATCCGCAGTGATTGCAGCCCCTTGAGTAAAGCGCTCTGAGACCGGGAAGGAGGGTGGGAGAGCGGTACGAGGAGCCACGTGTTGGCTGTTACGGAGGAGGGCAATTCGGATGCAGAAGTCCGAGGGAGAAGAGGGGGTCGCTCGCTGGGCCCAAGTACTGATCAAGGAGTGATTTCCCCATCGCTAGCTGTGTGAGGGTGGAGAGCGGAACACTCCTCCGAGGGAGACCCGTTCAAGCACTGGGTCAGAGACTTCATGGCCTCCTTCAGCCCGGAGAAGACAGGGAAAGAAGGTTGGGGATAGGGGAAGGTGCAGAGGCGGCTTGGAGCAATCCAGAGGGCCGGTCCTGTGGATCTGAGTGCCCTTATCATCTCCTGCCCTCTCCTTTCTTCTCAGGCTCGGCCACTGAAAGTCAGCCCCCAGCAGCCTGGGCCCTCAGGTCCAGTCCCACAGCCACCCAAGACCAAGCTCCCCTCAACTTCCTGTGTCCCAGACCCTACAAAGCAGGCAGAAGAAATCCTGAATGCCATCCTGCCCCCCAGGTAAAAAAAAAAAAAAAAAAAAAAAA